TAAGATATAGATAGTTAGATAAGGACGGTAGATAGATGGATGGATGAATGTGTAAGCAACCAAGTACATGGATAGATAGATAGACACGCAGTTTTCGATTCGATAATGTCGGATGTTCTTTCTTTCACGGAGAGCACTTCTCCGTGGCTAGTGTTTGCGTGTTGCTTCCTGGGGGTATCAGGCCAAAAAGATGAGGGGATCGTTATGACTGGCGTTTTGGATGTTTGGATGGCATTGTTACAGTCTTGGGTCTTGGGTAAAGTGCTCGCCGTTGGAGGATAGTTTCGTTCAAATTGGATAGCCTCCCTCCACCGCTTTCGCTCGTTCGCCTCGCGGGATGTCTCCCTGCGGGTTTTCTTCACAGAGTACCCTTTTCAGGCCTTCGGTCAGTCTTCGTGACACCCCCGATCCCTTTTGGCACGCATGTAGGATACTTCCCCGCTCGGCCTCACTCCCTCGCCCGGCGTCGCTTGTCTTTTTTCTCGTGACCGGATACTTTCACAGGACACCATGTGTACTCCTCCTCACACGCTCCTTCCCGTGCCTTGGATTCCTCTCCACCCTCACCCCCGTTCTGCATCATTCGCCCCGTCTGTAGCTCTCCACGAATTCTGGGGCACGTGCTGGCATGTTGAGGAGCTCGCTGGAGGATGCTGGAGGTGAGTTGTCGCTGCAAAAGTCCGGCATATAAGTTAGGATTTGTTGATTGCGCCATGCCCAGTGGATGTAATTATGTTGCCACTACTAGAGGTAGTTTTCAAGCGTTCCAGTGTTCCCTCAGCTTAACGTGTCACCTTGCACCGGTATGCAGGGAAAACAATCTTGAGCATTGTGGCAGGCAACACGCACACATGACGAGAATCGAAACAGGAATCCCCTCTGTCGGTCCACAGTGCCTGCTGCGGCAGTATGTGCGAACATGCGCGAATCACGTGGACAAGGTCTTCATTGTGCACATTGCACTGGGTCCGCAGCGATTACTCTTGTCTCTGCAAACTCTCGGGATCGCGGTCTCTTGGTTTCGTGGCAGTCAAGTCATCGGTAGTTGAGGAACCATCCCGAGTCAATTGTTGTGTTGCCCATGCAGCTTCAGAGTCATGAGGGTATGCGCACATGTTTTCTGGAAGGAAAGCCAAAAGATTCTCAGGTCCTACATGCAGACAATGATGGAGGACGTGTCACATTGCAATCAATGCAGCAGCCGTGATCCACGGCTCGGCATGAACGGCCTGTAACCTGGGCCTTTCCTGACGCCTTGTTCGTTCGCATCTTCGTGGACAAATGAACGTGCAAATGGTATGGCCTTATACGACCGAAGCTATATCAAGAGACACGATGTTCGACTGCAGTGCCTGAGCTGCTTGCCACCCCCTGGATGGACTAACGTCAGCATGAAGTGTACGGTTTTTTCGGCACAGCGAGCCTGATCCCGCAGTACGTGCCATCAGGTTAGCTGAACACAACCAGCTGTGTCTTGCGCACCCAACCCCAGGCAGATGGCAAGCATCTGCACAGAAGTGCTGAACATGATCAGCATGACAGTTAACAGGGCGCATGGCGCAGCATAGTATCAGGCAATTTCTTGTTGGAGTTCGGTTGGGGAAGCTAAGCTCCTGCGCTGGATGCCTGTGTTTTTATGGAGTGTAGGGTTTGCAGCGCACAGCATAAAATCAATTCTATAAGATGCCGTCATGCCTTAGTGCGGGAATTTCCAGTCCCTTGCTCCCGCAGACATACAGCATGAAGAAACGAAGTCCGCATACTGTAGTGTTCCGGGAAACATGAGCATGTGTCCAACATCTGCTCCGATGAGGAGATGTGCTTCGACCCTTAACCCTAAACCACCCTGAACCTGGGATGGTTAGCTTCTGAGCTTTCGACGGCTTCCAGCGATGATTTCCTTTCAGATCTTCATCCCGGCATCGGGCGGCCTTCCAACATGGCATCCAGCCTTGGCCGTAGTTCCCTTTGTAAGTGAGCTGCAAATAGTATTGGTTTCGGGGCAGAGGAGAGCGATAATGGAAGTGGCATTTTGTCCTGCTGTTCCAGCCATGTTTGTGTGTTTTCATTGCAAGTGCATTTGGCCCTTTCGGGATGTGCCTGAGTAAGTTGTCGTCACATCAAGATGCGGACTCGCATGGATCAGCCTTGATGGATGAAGCTTTGGCTGTCATCTGCGAGGGGCCAGTGTTGCATGGCAACTTGAACAGTGTGGTTCATATTTCGAGTTCGTGCGTTTCATGCCCATCCACGAAGAAGATTTGAGACGGACAGCAGTGTGTGGCCGTGAGCATGCGTCGTACAGTCAAAGCCATCTCGTGCCGGAACAGGGCCTGTGATGGAAGCGGCAACTGACGTGGCACTTCAGGGCAGGCGCCGCATGCATTTCGGCAGGTGACTGTTGCTCATGGCAGGCCGTGGTGTCCCGACAAGCCTCACATACAGATAAACAGAAGTGGCAGCACATTTCTTGCCGTGTCCGGCGCAAAAAGTGTTTGCTTTCTCAGATCTCACTGACCCAGCATGTTATGAAGCAAGCATCCCGCGGTTGTGCGACTCTGTCAGCTGGGAGAGTGGGGAAAAACATCATCGTATGATCGTATGCACCTCGCATTCGTCAACCTTGTTTCACACATGCGAGAACGTCGGTTGCATGAAGCATTTGCCCAATGCTGCTTTTGCGTTGAGCCGCTGGCTCATGACCTTCGCTGTTTCGCCTGGTGCTGCGCACCGGCAGCTCGGGATCCGGCATGCTTGCTGCACAACATTCTGCACCAGCGCGCTCAACCCAATCTGCTTATGTCGAGCAAAGGATGTTGCCATTGAGCAGGCCGTCATGTAAGTAAAATTCGCCAGAATTTGGTGGTACCATCGCCACAGCACTCTGCACCTGCTACTGCTTGGCAGTCATGTCCGATGAAATCCAGGTGCAGGTGTGTAGCTCACTGGAACGAACTTTATTCAATTGCCCAAAGAACTTTATCATGAAGGGATCGCGAAAATGTGCGCGGAGCCTTCGGGCTGTCTGGAGCTGTATACATGTTTTTTGTCGTGGGGAATTTCGCAGGTTGGAGCAAGTTTGTAGAGTGTAGGTCAAGATTCTGACACACGCACCGTCCACAATTCAAGCGACATTGACACTGAACTGGAATGCCTTTTAGGGCGTGAGCTCCGAGGGCTTCTGATCGTGATGTCGACACCTTCTGCCAGGTTATGCGTAACTCACAGTGTGCCATTTGCTTTCACTGCAGCCGTGCAGCAGCAGGTACACTATGCCGAGAAGAGGCCCATACCGCAAGCGCGATTTGGGATGCAGGGCTCGGTGGCCCAGCGCAGCTCGTGAGCCGACGGGCACGATGCAAGACCCCACGTCTTCGCCCAAAATGCACTGATGCTTATACATGTCGGGGCGCGTCGGCGGCACGAGCGGCCCCGTCCGGGAGCAAGGATGCTGCGCGTTGAGTTGGCCGGTTGGTGTGCCTGACGGCGAGACTTCGCCGGGACATGGGGCCATGCTCCCGGCATAGCCACTTGAGATAACTTGCGAGGTCATTTGTGACTTCATTCTGTTTGAGCCGGTTCGTGCAAAGTCATCGCTGCAGTGGCAACGCCGTGTTGCAGAAACCCCAGTCCAAGGTTTCCAAAGCGGCAGCTGCCGAATGAGATCAGAAATCGAAGACACAACACGGGTCAAATCACAATCGAGGTCACGTGGGGCGACCCTGCCTGTTAAGCCTTCTCCAGTGTGGCAAATGTCGCTTCAGCTGGCTTCTATGCGAGAACAGCTGATGCCCAGAATTGTTGGGGAAGTTGCCTGTCGTGCGAGAAGTTTCAACGCGCAGCCCTTCTCGCCATGTCCTCGTGCCAGGGACCTTCACGTAGCACTGATCTCTCCGTTGCATGGACTTTTTCAGTCGCGCTCCAGCTTAGCGGTGGGCCGGCGGGCTTTCAGGCTTGACCATCACAAGCGCAGTCGCTGCCGTCATCGCGATCAATGGAACAGAGGTTTGTCGAAAATCAATTCGCTTCAGAAATTTGGCTTTTGCTGCTCTCGTTGGTATTTATGTGGCTGCCGGCACTCTCCATGTAAATACTCTGCTGTGTTCAGTCTTCAACTGGCCTTCGGCCTTTCGCTTATCGATTGTTTACTTTCCATATGGATAGACTAAGAACCTTTTGCCGCCAAGGTGCGCCTTGACTCCGACTGGTTTCGGTCTGCCTTGGTTACCCTGCCGCGTGGTTGCCAGATGAGAGCATGTGCTCAGCTGTCACACTCAAGTCCCTTGGAAATCCCGCCAGGCCAAGAAGTTCCCAGTGGGCTGCTGTAAGATCGAACTGGCTTTACACGCTCCCGGCGCCATGTCTGGTGTGCATGCGAGCGGCCACTGACACGTTTGGTCAGGACGTTTTGCTAGAAACTGGAACCAGTTTGGTTCAACAGTCAGCAGCATGGAAGTGCAAATCAGGTATGAGTGTGGTATTTCGCTTCTGCACGCATGACGTACAGTAAGTAGTGACACGTTCGCATCCAGGTACAGCTGAGCCAGTGCCGTCGCTGGTACACGTTTCGGTTGGCACCTGTGACAGGACGTCCCAGCGCAAAAAAATGGCTGTGCATGGTGCAAGTATGGTGCACGCATCAGCTGCTATAGCCGTAGACGTCGAATCTGGCACGCGGGCAGCACGAACAAGGCAGCCATCTTCCGGATTACGGCATGCGTGTGACTGCATGACTGGCAATTTCCCTAGATGCCTCTCCACAAGCATAAGGCAGCGGGGCGGTTCAGGTTGTTGGGTGCCTCTTCGTCGTGCAAATAAGCTTTCGCAAGTCTGCAGTGGGGGGGGCAGGGGTGGGGGGAGGGTGTCATGTAAGGGCAATACGGCAGTATTGCTACTCGGCATGCGCGGGTCCAACATGAGAGGCCTTAGATTGTTGGGGCGGCGACTCTGGAATGGAGAACCTGAAGTGACGCTGCCGGGATGATCGGAGGTTGCTTGTTATGTCGTTTATGTCGCTCGGCAGGCCGGCGTGCAAGATGATGCCCATTTCCAAGAGGCCTGTCCGGCAAAGGATTTTGGCCTTCTGCCGGCTGGCGCTGTCCCGCGCCTTGTTGCTAATCCACTTCGTGAAGAGTGACCCCTTCACCCTTCTGGATCCAATGGGAGGGTTAATGACACTCGCAGGTTCTGACGGCGAGATTTTGGCGCTTCTAAACTCCAACGATGCGTTTTCGCTCGACACAGCGGCCAGAGTACGGCCGCTGATCAGTCTTTCTACCCGGCCCTGTGCCAATCATGCCGGCGGCTGCGGGGAGAGGTGATCACTGCGAGAGCTGCACTGTCGCCTCGAAAGCGTTTCAGAAATTCTGGAAGGCACATAAGATTGCTTGTGACGGCACGTTCCAAAACTGGTCGCCAGAAGTCCGAATTGAAACCTGAGCCGAAGTGTGTCTGGTAGTGGGCCTAGATTCTCGAAAAGGTGACGACAATCAGGCGTTGTCCCGACCTGTGTGCCAGCCTCGCAAAAGGAGCCGTGTTCGAGCCTGTTGGCGACGCCAAACTGGTGACCTTCACCTGCAGTGGCTACAGCCTCCACGCTCTTGCACAGGCCCAAGGGCAGGTGATCCAGGATCTGGGCCTGGTCGCCCAGTGCCGCTGTCATTGCACGGTCATGGTTCTTCGTAGCTGGGGACACAGATGTCTGGGCACCCGTAAGCGCAGTGCTTTGCGACGTTGAAGCGAGCAGGCAAGTGCGTATGGAAAAGTGGAACATGTTGCCAGCACTTGAACGTAACGACCATGCTATTTATGATTTCGGCAGTCATTGGGGCAGCATCCGGGGTGATGAAAGTACACCGTGCTGCATGTGCTTCTGGTGGGTCGTTGTGCATGTGTTCGGTTTCCCTGAGCCATACCCAACGGCAGCAAAACAGCGGACAGCACACAGAGAAAAAAACCAACGAAAGGATGGTCGGCTCTGTGCGGCGCGGTTTGGCAGATCAGGAAGTTGGAAGCCGGAGAGGAAGCTCTCCCCTCACAACGGACCTTGCAAGTGCATCGTGCGCGACCGCATATTCCGTGCTCGTGTCCTGTGCTGGCCCTTCAGCTGGAGAAGGTGAGGCAGCGCAAGCATCAAATGTTACAACCATTACACATGCAGTCATGATGCATCTATCTGCCGGATGCTGTGAGTTGATTCTGAACGTGGGGATGTGGGACCCGAGCTGTGAGATGTCCGAGATGGCATCCTCGCAAGCAGACGGGAGCTTGGTGAGATTCAACATATGCGGCGCTACCGATGTGCGTGAACATCGGCCTCAAGCACACAGAAGGCTCTGGAACTTTGCTGGGCATTCGGGACGCAGGCAGGCTGCAGCCTTGACCTTGCACGCTTGGATTCGGCGTGGCACTTACCACATCTAGCTCGGTTTGAGCCACAACGCGGCCTCCACCAGTGTCCTGTGACGACCGTGAGCGGGCACTGCAGCCCGACGGACACAGGATTGCTAGAATTAATTCATGTCTGCCGCTGCAAGTCGATGTTGCGCAGCAAGTCCGTTGCCATTACCGCGTCCTCGTCTTCTGTCCGAATGCTGAAGAACTGCAGGCCATGCCTTTCTTGAAGCTGTACTTGGGCCCGGTCAGTTCGATGCCTCGGCCACCCGGCACCTGACCGTGTGTTGATGCTTGGATGCTTGAAGACATTGCGAGGTATTGAGCACCCCGTGTCTGTGTCTCGTAGACCGAGGTCCGAGGATTGCAAACTTGCGGTCAGCCGCTTCGGCCCGAGGCATGGGAAAGGCTTCACGGCTTCACGTCCCGGAGCTTCAGTATACGGACTTCTACAACCATGTGTCGCAGCCTTGCGCAGATGTCGCAGCGGGTTAGTTAGCGGGAGGTTCTGGGTCGGTCTCCGAAGCTTTAGCCGCGCCATGAGCGCAGGGTAAGAGGGGCAGGCATTGCTGTCCTGCAGAGCTCCGCTTCAAAAAAGTTGTGAACCATGTTTGATTGAGCCACTGCCGGAAGCAGCTCGTACATGTTGGTCGCTTTTGCAGACCGACTCGCAATTCTGTGGGGAGGCTAGAAGCTCAGGATGCATAGGGTTCGATCTAAACTGTTGCTGGCCTCTGCCGAGCTGCGAACGCGGACCGGAGCCACTTTCATGTAGTCCTTACATGCCCCGCCACGACATTAACATCAGGCTCGCTGCTTCGGTGCTTGTCGATTCGCAGCAGCGGAACTGCCCGTGCCCAGCTTCGCCCAAGCTGAAATAGCGCGCAGTGGCGAGACTGCAAGCGTGGAATCTTTGCACGATCTCACATGACCGCATGACCCCAAGGCCAGGTTGGAGAGGTTTTGGCCCGCTGCTGCTGGATCGGGAAGCTGCCCCGCAGCGGCCAGCCAGGCGAGGTTGTGCAATCGTGCTTTGTCGGATCGTGCGCTGTTTGGGAGTGGGGTGCTGGTGGTACGCCCACACTTTTTGTTTGGGAGGCCCGTCGCACTAGAGCTACTGTCGCTTGGTCGCCATGACATGAAATTCAGACTGAAGCCTAACGCTGAGCTGGGCTCTTGTCTTTTCTTGCGGATGTAGTGCCCTGCGTGCGGAAGTGGCCGTAGCTGATGTCAGCACGCACTGGCTACGAAAAGCTGTTGCCTCTCGGACCTTGAGGGCGAAACGAGCAAAGGCGCGCGCATGTCTTTATCATTGCCCGTGACGATGGCGCACGGTGCTGCCACTGCACCTGTTGCTACATCCCACTGTCCAAGTTTTTGCATGCGCGAGTGTTTTGATACTGGCTGACTGCGTCTGGATATTCCTGCTGGTGCATGCCTTGGAGCTACACTGGAAGCATGAGTGCTGTGCGTCGGCCGAGCGGCCACTAACTGAACGTGGGAGTACAGGCTTCAGTTGCTGCTAAGCTCTGACTGGTCGGGTAGCAGATGCAGCTACTCTGCCCGGTGGTGCCCGATTCTAGCACCCACCCCTCGCAGAGTGACAGGCTCCTGCCGGTGCCTGTGCAGGGTTGGCAAAAGCTGCAGGCGAAGGTGCTGCAGGCTAAGGCAGGCCTTCTCCGCAGCAAGACCTGCGCGGCCGAAACAGTACCAGACCAGCCGTGAAGCACACGTCCAGTCTTCGTCTCACGGTCCGTCTGCATTACGGTCGAGCCGCGTCTGCATCTCCACCGGAGCCCACGGGCACGTCGACGTCGGCCTACTGTTGCCAAGTGTTGGGGCAGAGAAACGGGTGCTGTATGCGATAGCATACACGGCTGCTTTCTTCCACATGGGCATTCGTCATGATGTGACGCAAGCAACCAGGCAAGGGATCGGTAACGCCCCTGTGCTCCTGAGAGCGTCTTGCGGAAAAGGCGACACATATAGGCTCAAAAGCAATGACACTGCAAGCTGCTTCATGTTGGCCATGTGGGTCTTTCAACACAGCCTGTCGCGGCATAGTTTGTGTCGGCTGCATGTCCCGAGCCTGTTCCAGCAACACTAGTTCGAAGCCGTTGAACATGCACCGACCCAAGCTTACTCGGCAAACACCTGCATGGTGCGGGTCCGTCCACCTGTTTGCAGGATTTCGCGCAGCAGGGCAATGTCGCAAGTCCAGGGTCCTGGCAAGCCCAATGATAAACTGCTCGATGCCGCTTCAAGCACATGGAATCCGAGTCCAACGGCGGAGCTTCTGGCATCATTCAAAGTCGGATAGTGATTCAAAAGCGCGTGTGTTACAGCGGGTGTGGTAAAGAAGGAGCTCCGTAAGCCGCAGGAGAGCACATGTTGTGGTGCTTTGTGGACTGCGTTTTCAACTGGTGCCCGGAGGTTGCATGCGATCTCACTGTAGGAAGGCCGTCAAGGTAAGGAAGAGCACATAGGTTTTCGGCGTTTTGATGCGATTGTTTGGCTTACCAAGGCATGCCGCCAGTGCTGAACAAGTCGTCTGCAACCGTCCGGAGACACGCCCAAGTGCCATCAAGTCAAGGCCTTTGTTCTGGGATGTTTGCGTGCAGTCATGCCGGATCGCACTCTTCAGACAGATCTGACTGATGAGGGCAGCTTGCCAAACTTGCTCCCATTGCAACAGTTGGTTCCGTTGTGGGCTTCGCAGCGGTTCCTTTTTGTATATCCAGCAGTGCTGTCACCTCAACATATTGGTGCGTCTCAGTTTGACCAGACTGGGCTGGTGAAGCTGAGACGGATAGACGCCAGGTGTGAATGGCGCGGGTGAAACCCGTGCGGGTATGTGCCATGTGCGCCTCACCCTTTAGAATCATTTCGAGGCTCTTGGCCGTGGGATCCTTGGCTCTGGATGTCCCCACCCGGGAAAGCTGTAAGCCACGTACCGGGGGCAAAGCACGGAGGGCCTCTCCTGCGTTTCGTTCATACCGACGTCACAGCTGGCAGTGAATCGAGCCGCCACAAAGCAATCCGGAGTCTGCATTTGGCAGGGCCTTGCCCGCCAAAGTTGCAATGACGAGTTCACTCAAGGCGCATTGTCCCAGTCCCCACTCCGACGTGCAAGCCTCGAGGCTACTGTCAGGCATGTCAGGCATTCTCTCGCTTGCCAGTCCTCTAGGTTGAAGCACTAAATTTCCAGGTGGCCGCACTTGCCAAAGCCACCAAAGCCAGGCGCTCTTTGATCAGAAAACCATTTTGACAGCTGGGCACAGGCATGGATTTGTGAGCATTTGGTTCCGGGACTTGTCCAGCGAAGAACCTCCAACGGGGCCACATTTGCAGGTTTGCCAACCTCCCGGCTCACAATAGCGAGCAAGTAAAGCCCACGTCCCGAAGAGTTTCTGTGAGATGATTTTAAGGCAAAAGGGTTAAGGCTAAGCTTCCATGAAAACATCTGCGAGGCTAGGCACGCACGGTTGGCAAAGATTAAGAACTAATTGGGAATCCTCTGCATCTCGTCGGTCTCTGGTTTTCTGCTTGTCCCGTCCCCTGGAAGATGCATTTGGCTTTTGCCTGCATGTGTGCGAAGTGCGAGGGTTGCCGGCAGTCGTTGCAAAGCTGCACGTGTCGTCAAAACAGGTCTCCCTGTTTGTAAGCTGGTCGCATCGTTCGCAAAGAATCCGCAGGTCTGAGCGTAGGCGTGGCATGAACCGACCACGATTCTGCCAGAAAGCATAGCTGTAACCACGCAACGAAATGAGTGACATGACCCCCGCCAGTTCTTCCGCACAATGCCTGAGCCTGAGGGCCTGATCTGTTGACGTGAGCGCAAGCACGAAGAGGTTGCTGTGCTCGCAGGCCTCGCTGTGGTTGCCCAGGTGGGCAAAGCGACGGGTGCGAGGTGTCTCCAAGGGATGAC